CCCATGATTATTAGTCAGATATAGAAGGCCCTCCTTACCAACAGAACGTCTTGCGCGTTTTCTCAAAACTTTTGGTGCATTTGTGAGCTAAAATCGGATTCCGAGTTACCATAAACTTTACTAACAAGCAATGATCATTCAGAAAATAGAGAGCGCATCCCGCTCACTGATAAATAACACAACTTATTTATCTTTTGTTCAATAGAACAATATTGGTTAGGTAAAATACAATCTAGTATATAAAGTAAGGTGCAGGTGGTTTAATGTTAGGGTCTAACTAACATAAGACCATGCGCTGTGGTTTGTTTTGCTGCACAAATTGCATTTAACTTTGTTGCCGCAGGTTTGCTTCAACTACTTTTTACCGTTGTAACATGGGTTATTCTTCTAAGCAAGCATGACAAATCGGATAATAAAAAATCAACATTAAATGGTAATTCGATAACTACCTCCAGACAAATTTTTTCAAAAGAGGTTAAAGTCTTACTTTTTGGGTATGTTACACTTATCACCAAGTTCCTATCGTTAATAATTTTAGGACCTGGAGAATCGGGTAAAAGTACCATTGTAAAACAGATCAAGTAAGAGCTAAAACTCACACTTCTTGCTTAAAGAATTATTCATCAAGCGGGTTTTACTGTGGAAGAATGTATGTGTTACAAAACCGGTTGTTTATTGCAACATTATCCAAAGCATGATTGCAATAATAAAGCGATGGGAAATCTATACATCGATTTCCAGTCAGATAAGCGGCAGGTATGCTAGAAACTTTGATGGTACATAAATATATTTTTATTGCTTTATCTCTGGCATTCAAATCAACCTTTTCATACAAACCTGAGGTCCTCCTAGGTCAGCAATTTTTCTGATTATTGTCCGATTCCCATCTGAAGGGCGTTTCGAATAGAGTTCCGGTTAACATTTATAGAAGTAAATTAACATGTAGAACAGTTAGCTGTTATCTATGCAAGCAATGCAAATAACTTGAACGCATATTTATCAATAATTGTCTTGTTGCATACGCGCATAGTTTCCTCATGTCACTGATCGCCAAGATCACCATAAAATAACATCGTTATGAAATATTTAAAGGGAGATATGCGTATAAAATGTAAGCGACTGATGAAGAAATTGTATGTGTTGTGTCATCGTAATAATATTTATAGGGTTCAACTGATGTTATGGGTACTTATCTTAAATACCTGTTATTCCATTTTAATCCGTGGTCCCTACGGAAAGTGTTCGATAGTGCATGTGGTACGGCATTTATATAATAATGCGCAAAAACTTTGACTTAGAAGAATGCTTTGCAGCATTATAATGATATGGATAAGAATTTTTGTCGACTTCGTAAGATTTTTTTAGTTTGCATTTAGTTCGGAATATATTACTGTGTAGTTTGACGGCCGAGTGTCCAATGGGAGTTATAGGTATACTCTATGAAAGTATGCATGCTACTTCCTGTGTACTGGCTAATGGGATGTTAATATTACAAAAGCATAATATTTGACATCAATGATCCATGCCGTATGCTTGAACTTCTTTAGTTATCTTCAAACACCTGTTTGAACATCCGAAGTCAAATGATTCATTGGTCAAAAATGCTTTCTTTAAAAACTTGTCAAAATTCATATGTCTATCTACAATTCCAGAAGGATATAATAACATGTTTCTTCTTTAATGCTGCAGTATAATATTTCTAAACTACATTTTTTCTGCTGTGCTGAATCATTCTCTTAATGCTAGCGAGTGTATATTTGATCGTTGTATCAGTGTATTGTACAGGACAAGGGCCCATTGTCAGCTCCGTCGTTTTAGATTAACTGCGACGTTTGAGGTAGTTGCTTATAAGGCGGTCCTCCTATGTGTGTTTTGTCCTTATATTATGAATCGCAAAAATCTTTCCGCAGTCATCCGGTCGGCTATCTAGCAGCCTATTTTACATCCACTCTCTGCACAATGGCAATTTTGCTGCACTGATTCAACCTTTATTAGATAAATTAATATAATGTCATCTAAATAAGCATGGTGTTTTCTTTGCTTGTGCTACTTTAGTTGTAGTCCCTTTCTTAAAGTTAAATACCTGATTCAAATTCCTTACACGGCCAATCCATCTGATTCCATTAAACTGCTTCCTCATGTCGCCAATATGAGATGCAGGCTTGCTTGCATACAGGTGGAAAGTAGTTTTGTCGGATTGTATTCGGGTGCGTCTTTATCCACGAAGGATTTTAAAACTGTTACGTAGAAACAAGGTTAGGCTATCTGCAGCTAAACTTAGACGAGGCGCAGCTACCCAGTTGGAGACCGCGCGAGCCAGACTTTATGGCTTATTGGAATCCTATACCCACCTGTTGCCCGTAATTGTAAACTTTTCAGTCAGCTGTCTGATTAACTACATCCAGTATTGTGTAGCCAAACTTGAGCTTACCAAATTAAAGGAACTAGCACGGCTTGGAAAGCATTGAAAAACAACCAAACTGAGGAGCCATGTTCTCGGGACCCCAGTTAGTATGTTGTGAATCCATCAAATGTGAACACCGATGCACTACAGTTAGAAGCATTGTTTTTCGGGCTAGATTACAGGGCCCATAAACGATTGATAGGATTGTTCATTGAGGTTCAGTTTGAGAAGTTTTTGGATCAGTTGAATGATCTTCAACCAACTAGTATCAAGAAGCTAAGATGATTTAGAAACAAACTAACCGATGGTGCCTAGGAAGTATACAACGCGCCAATAAAAGCAGCGTGCGCGCTTACAAACACACACCTACGAGTGTTACACGAATTGCACAATGAGCATGTTGTTGTACTGAAGCCGGATAACTGTTTAGGAGTGGTAATCTTAGACAAAGATGAATACGTCGAGAAGTTGAGCATCATACTCAGGGCCACTAACAATTTTACACGACTGGAGAAGGCAGGAGATTTGACTGCATTCGAATCCCAAATCATTCGCTGCTTAAAAATGGTTCATCAGTATTACATGATCGACAACGTTACTTATAATAGTTTAAAGCCAAGTGGATCAAATACGTCACAGCTATATGGGCTTTCAAAAACGCACAAGAGCGGAGTGCTGCTCAGACCGATCCCCTCGATGACGAACGCACCCCAAGATAAATTAGCTCCTTGGTTGGTTAATGTGCTTTCTCCGCTAAAAGCTCAGTTTGATCGATATGGCCTCAATGACTCCTTCAAGCTTGTCGAAGAGCTCGATGAAATGAACATATATGATTAGATGATGTGTTCCTTAGATGTGGAATCGATATTTACTAACGTTCCTTCACACCAGACCGTTGACTTCATCTGTGAATTAACAGAAAGTTGCAAATGTCCGTTGACGATTTCAGTTAAATTCTTAAGTGAATCCTTGCTTCTATGCAAACAGAATGCCAATGTTCACTTCCGAAACATGCCGTATCACCAAATTGATGGGGTAGCCATGGGCAGCCATCTGCGTCCCATACTAGCGGATTTCTTTATACTGATGACAGAACGAAGCCTATCCAAAGAAACAGCGCCGGTACCATATTACAAACGTTACGTGGACGATAGCTTGGTGTTCAATTTAACAGCAATGCAGATCGCACAGCTAGTGGCGCGCTTTAACACCTTGTATGTCAATTTGAGGGTTGCTTGCGGTCGAAACACAGAACCGTCTTCCAGATTTAGGTGTTCTTATCAGCTTCAGGAAAAACGGACGTTAAAAGTGCTGTTTACCAAAAAACAACATGTGCTGGACAGTACCTGCAGTTTAGCAGCTTTACGTCAATGCGGTAGAAGAGAACGCTTGTGAAGTCCCTGTTTAGTCGCGCTAGATGAATATGTTCGTGCCATTGTCTAGTTGATGTACTAGAACTAATTACCAGCATGTTAATTGCTGATGGCTACCCTTGAAAATTTATCCAGTAGCTTAGCAAAATCCGTAAAATGAAATTTGCTGTACCTACTCTGCCTAACTAAAAGGTATTCTTAGGGCTGCAGTTTAAGGTTGACACTCCTTCATTGAGGACCAGAAGACGTCTGGTATCCGCCACACAGTGCACTTTCTGTGCTGCCGAAGTTGTACGCCTTGACCGAACACATAAGCTACCGTTGCCTGCACTAAAGGACACTCAGCTTATTGGCGCCAACTCTCACTGCGTATATCAATTCCCTTGGAACTGAAGGGCTAATTACATAGGCAAAAGCAATAAAAGCACTGAGATTTCGAATAAAGGTGCATGTACCAAAATGCGTTTAATGCGGGCTTATTCAGCAAGCAAGCCCAACTCAGACTACTTGTGTACGCTGGCCTCCAGCATCTTTGATCGGCAGGCACTTATTGACATCGGTTCATCAAATTGAGGTCAACAAGGCATTAAAAATTCTGCTGCGCCATTCTAGTTCCCGGCTCCTCCGGTTTACTGTGGCTATTGCCATTAATCGGATTAAGTCAATGCTTTGTTTTAAAAACAATTACTAGTCAGCTTCAGGCTGCCCTGGTTGTATAAGAAGGACACCTCTTTTTATTCTCGTTCGTTTGTAGGTATGTCTGTACTCATAAACTGTTATACAAAACTACTGGTTATCGTTATCGGCACTGATGTGATGATACGAAATGCATGCATCCGCATACTCCGACTTCTAAATGAGGTATTGTCCCAGCCGTCGGCCAGCCAATGCTATCAAGGTGCACTGCGTACCGAATTTTCGCGGTCTTGTCCTAATGCCACTATGCTTACGTAGCATAGGATCTCAGCAGCCATGCACGATGCAGGAGCATCTATTTGTGGCACTATCACTCGTCGCCGCACAAGTCACTAGATACCGGATTGGTCGGTGAACCAGTTGGAATATAGAAGAACTCTCCCGGCTTGTTCTGAACACAATGTGACAAGACGGGCTATTAGGCGCAAACTAAATCGGAGCCTACGTGCTGACAAGGAAGCATAGGGAACCAGTCGACTCAATAAATGAAGGAGAAATGCGCAATGGGCAATTACCGCAAGCTCTTCTAGCTAATCCTTACCACTGGTCCCAGAAAACCAGGCATTAATGAGACAATCAGAGACAGCGCGAGTGCACTGATACACAATAAAGTGGCGTATGGCTCCTTGGTCGGAACACTTTCAAGATCACTTCAGCTGGCCTCTGCTCCCGGACTCCTTCCTACTCAGGTGTTGCAGGACGATCCATGGACGCTTCGGTTAGAGGTTTTGTCCGAAGCCGAGTTCCGAAACGCCATCATAGCTCACAATCGTTTTTGTGCCGCTGGCCAGGATTCCCTTCCATCTGCACTCTTCAAGAATGTAGGTGAGATTTTCTGCAAACCTTGACCACCTTATTCGTAGGTATCTGGAAGGAAAGGAGTGTCCCAGCTAATTGAAGTGCATCAATTATAGTAGCAACATACAAGAAGCGCAGTCGCACATACCGTTCTAACCAGAGGGGTATTAGCATAATGCCAGTTGTGACAAAATTACTGGCCGCGATTCGTGTCCATCGCCTCACTATGAAAGGTAAACCTCTGATTAGGAAAGAGCAGGCCGGTTTCGGCCCATGCCGTGGCTGTATAGGCCATATATTCACTTTGAGACAGGTGCTAGAGCAGCGCCACACATACCGCAGATCGACAATAGCTGTATTCCTCGATTTAAAGCAAGAGTACCATTCAGTCGGTTGATCGTTACTGTTCCACATACTTGCCCGGTAAGGTGTTTTCATGATATCTGTGGACATCCTACATGCTCTGTACTCGAACACTACGGGCC